GTTGAAAACGATACGAGTAATGGATCTGAAACTATTTTGGATCCTCAGAAAATACCAGTCAAAAACGATGATGGAAAAATCGAAAAGTCAAACGGAAATTCAAATGATCAGGAATTATCTCATATGGAGAGTGAAGCTGATTCTGTAGAGAAAAAGTTGAATGTAGACGAAAATACTCATACAAACGACCACATTGAATCAATTATGGCAAATGATACACAAACTCTTTCAGAAACAAAACAATTGACTTCAAATGATACTGGAAACAGTGAGAGTGAAGAACCAATCATGAAATCGGATAAATCAAATCTGGTATCTTCGGAATACGAGGTGAGAAAAATTGTCAACCAAGGGGAAACTGACCAGGTTGTAACTGAAAGTGATAAGAAGAATTCTCAGCAAAATGATGAGAGTTCTAGTGGAGAGATTTTGAGTCAAAAAGAAAATGATCAAATTATTACCAAAAGGCAAAAACTCCTGACGGGATTATCATCTGCTTCTGAAACGGGAGAAAATGGTGAAAAGTCCGTCATTCCTAATCTAAACGAATACAAAGATGATTCATCTGGCACCAAGAATAAGAAAGTAAGTGATAAAGAAAATAACAACCAAAATGAAACTGAAATTTCCAAACAAAATGAAACAATTCCAACTGAAGCAGTTGAAGATGTCTGCATTCAGAATAAAATTGCCAAACTGAATCAGTCAGCTGACGAGAACAAAATTGATGAAACACCTCCAGAACCAGAAGTGGGTAAACTTGTCAACCAAAGAGGAACTGGTCAGGATGAAACACAAAGTGATCATGAGACTTCTTTACAAGATGACAATGGTTCTAGTGAAGAGATTTCGATTCAAAAAGAAAATGAAGAAAAAGAATCTGCTAAAACACAAGAAGTACCTGTCCGTTTAGTAAATGATTCTGAAACAGACGAAAATGATGAAAAATCACAAATAGTTACTCTAAACGAATGCAGAGACGTTGCATCTGACTCCAACGATATGGAAATGCATGAGGAAATGAACAACCAGAATGAAACGGAAAATTCCACACAAAGTGATACAAATCCCACTGAAGTAGCTGAAGATATCTGCATTCAGAAGAAAATTGACGGATTGGATGGAATCAATCCAGCTGACGAGAATGAAAAATATGAACACCCCACGGAACCTGAGGTCAGAAACAATGTCAACCAAAGAGAAACTGATCAGGTTGAAACACAAAGCGATCATGTGAATTCTCAACAAAATGACAATATGTCTAGGGGAGAGAGTTTGATCCAGATAGGAAATGAGGAAAAAGTATCTACGGAAACACAAGAACTGCCTATTCATTCACCAAATGACTCTGATACAAAAAATATTGTCAATCCAAACAAATTATGTGGCTCCAAGGAAATGAAAATAAATGATGAGGAAACAAAAAACCAGAATGGAACTGAGATAATTGATAAACTGAATGACACTATCGCAGTTGACAATGAAATCAAAGTATCTGAATGTGAATCTGAGTCTTCCAAGGAATGCGATGATTCCAAAGAAAATAGTAAACAATCTTCTGGTGGAACAAAAATGGACGATTCAGAAACTGACCATAATCACATAAATATCACAGTAACAAAAAAGGAACTCGTGGAAAATGAAAAAAGTAAATGTGGGGAAGAAGAGTTGATGGGGAAAAGTGGAGATAATGTTGGAAATGAAGATACTCATGTCAATGCACAAGAAAACGTTACCCAAGATTTTGAGGCTTATCCTAAGAATGAGTTTGAACATGATGATAATGAGAGAAGTGATACAGAAGCGAAACTAGAACAGGATGAAAATGGGGAGAATAAGAAAACATCTGAGAATGTTTTCAATAATGAAAATATTTCCAGTGATGATGAAACTGCTTTGACAGATCTTACAAAGAAAAATAATGCGAAGAATGAAGCAGACGTTGGAATAATAGACAAGGTGGCCAAAAACTATATTAACTACGTTATTGATAAGGAGAAATTGAAATACGATAATGATCATATGGACATAGATTATACAAATACTTCACAAAAAATAGTGAATGGTATGGAAAATGATCAACCAACAGATTCGGAGTTAGAAAAAAACAATGAATCTCATTCATCACCAGATGTTCAGAAGAATGGAAGTGAGAACCAAAGTAGCTTCGATCGATCCAAACTACGCGAAGAATTGGATTTATCTTCTGCAGAAGAATCTGTTATTGAAAAGGAAACCGATAGTACTGAACGAAATGAGTTGAAAAAGAACATTATCTCAACTCTATCAATAGCTGAAACTGGAATGATTTCTGCACCAGCGAAAAAATTTATCAATGATTTCATCAGTAATGAGAGAAGTAAACAATTTGGTGCGAATGAAGAAAACTACAATGTCGGGGAGAATGAGAGAGTACGAGGTAACATAACTGAAATTGAGTGTTCTAGCACTACTGACCTGAATAGAAATATCGGAGTATATATATCCGAGAGTAGGTACTAAGAAATATTACATCGGTGTAGACTAAAAATCTTCTATGTACGAACATCTTCAAGAAACAAACCACAAAATAAGTAAGGAAAACCTCAAAATCTTACATACATGTAGTAAAGGAAGGAAAATGAATTTGTTGGAAGCCATGGAAATCAATAAATCAATTGAAAACTCAAAATATAAATCCCTTAACGAACAAACAGATTTGTGTAGGTCTCCACTTTTGAATTTATAAAGATGACAACGCAAATTATCACAGTTTGAAGTTTATGTAGTTGATATTAATGAATGTAGGTATATTTCTTAGTACCTACTCTCGGATATATATACTCCGATATTTCTATTTAGGTCAGTAGTGCTAGAACACTTGAGAATGGTGTAAAAACCGAAATCTTGATCATATTAATATCGATACATTGAGTGAGTGGAAATTAGACAAAGTATTTTATTCCTATATCTAATTGAAGATAAATTATACACGACTTGCCAACAGTTGAAAAACCTGTTGTAATGATATCAAAATATTGAGCTTTAAAGCGCTTAATAGTCACTGAACGACTTTTTCTTCATATTAAACATCAGTGGAACAGAGCAATACGTGGGCTTATGTTGGCTTAAGATAACGGGCCTTCCAACAGAAAATTTCGAATTTTGACAATTGATAACGTCCATCTTGTCGAAGCAACATCTGTCAAATTAATTGTCATTTTTCAGTCTGTTTTGGCAAATCACCATGGACGGATATAACGTTCAA